CATGTGGCAGACATGAAGCGGTTCAAAGATAAAATAACTGGACTGTTACGGGAGTTTGAGCAACGCTTTCAGATTTATGTTTATATGTTTTTATGTTGATGTGCTATTGTTTTTAATTGATTTTATTTTATTTGTATATTTAACCTATTCTTGACTCTGTGGTTCTTGCACTTGTTTGGGGAACAGGATTTCATTATTTTTATCTACATTTCTGCCTGAGAAATGACACCCTGATATAGTTCTGTGATCTGTGAAACAGTTCTGTTAATCACTGAGGCATTGTGTGTTTGTGTGTTCTTTTTCTTTAGAATTTTCAAATAAACTTGACGTGTTTTATGATTAATAGTGATGTTGTGCTTGTACTATTTTGGACACACTGTCCTCAGGCTCCAGCTTTATGTTGTATGTTGATCGTATTAAAACAAAGAAAACAATCTGAAGTTGTTGTTTTTAAGTTATATATACCATGATTTTTCCGGTCCGGCCCACTTGGGAATAGATTTTCCTCCATGTGGCCCCTGAGCTAAAATGAGTTTGACACCCCTGGTGTAAAGGAAAGATGAATGGAGCCATGTATCGTGAGATTTTGAGTGAAAACCTCCTTCCATCAGCAAGGGCATTGAAGATGAAACGTGGCTGCGTCTTTCAGCATGACAATGATCCCAAACACACCGCCCGGGCAATGAAGGAGTGACTTCGTAAGAAGCATTTCAAGGTCCTGGAGTGGCCTAGCCAGTCTCCAGATCTCAACCCCATAGAAAATCAGTTGAAAGTCAGAGTTGAAAGTCCGTGTTGCCCAGCGACAGCCCCAAAACATCACTGCTCTAGAGGAGATCTGCATGGAGGAATGGGCCAAAATACCAGCAACAGTGTGTGAAAACCTTGTGAAGACTTACAGAAAACGTTTGTCGTGTGTCATTGCCAACAAAGGGTATATAACAAAGTATTGAGAAACTTTTGTTATTGACCAAATACTTATTTTCCACCATATTTTGCAAATAAATTCATAAAAAATCCTACAATGTGATTTTCTGGATTTTTTTTCTCTTATTTTGTGTGTCATAGTTGACGTGTACCTATGATGAAAATTACAGGCCTCTCTCATCTTTTTAAGTGGGAGAACTTGCACAATTGGTGGCTGACTAAATACTTTTCCCCCCCACTGTATTCCACCCACACGAGTTGCTGGCTCCAGGAGGTGGGGTTGGCAGAGACGAGGCAACGAAGAGTCGTCTCCAGATCCTGATTGGCTCCCTCCGACTGGCCGTTAGATTGGGGGTGAAAACAGGAGGACAGGCTGGCCGATGCCCCAATGAGGGTGCAGAACGCATTCCTGAAGCAGAACGAAAACAGAGGACCGCGATCGGAGACCACCGGAAGTCCATGGATCCGGAAGACGTGCTGCACCATGAGCTGGGCCATTTCCTTGGCTGAGGGTGACTTGGGAAGGGGAATGAAGTGGGCGGCTTTGGAAAACCTATCCACCAACGTGAGGATAGTGGTTTTGCCATCTGATGGAGGGAGACCCTTGACGATGTCCAGGGATATATGGGACCAGGTGCGGTGAGGAACGGGAAGAGGTTGAAGGAGGCCAGCCGGAGCTTGCCTTCGAATTTTATTCTGAGTACACACAGTGCAGGCGGTGATGAACATGGAGACGTCATGAACCAAGGTGGGCCACCAAAAAGGTAGTCGTACAAAGGTCAGGGTCCGACGGGAGCCAGGATGGCTGGCCAGTCGGGAGGGATGAGCCCATTCCAGAACTGGGGAACAGGCAGAGTCCGGGACAAACATCTGGGTAACCGGGCACCCTCCCCGGGGTCCGGCTGGGAACACTGTGCCTCACGGACCTGGTACTCTATACCCCAGACGAATGCAGCCGCGAGACAAGAGTTAGGGTAGGGCGGTCTCAGGATCCATTGGTGTAGCAGAGGGGCTATAGAGGCGTGAAAGCTCATCCGGCTTCACATTCTTGGATCCCGGGCTGAATGAGATGGTGAAGTTGATCCGAGTGAATAGCAGGGCCTGTCGAGATTGCCTGGAGTTGAGGCGCTTGGCGGTGTGGAGATATTCCAGGTTCTTGTGATCCATCCACACTATGAAAGGGTGTTCCTTCCTCTCTAACCAGTGCCTCCACTCCTCTAACGCCATCTTAACCGTGAAGAGTTCTCGGTTACCCGCGTCGTAATTCCTTTCAGTGGTGTTGAGACGATGGGAGAAGAAAGTGCAGGGATGCAACATTTGGTCTTGGGCCGAACGCTGGGACAGGACAGACCCCAATCTGATGTCCAAGGCGTCGACCTCCAACACGAACTGCCGGGACTGATCCGGATGGATTAGGATGGGGGCGGTTGTGAATCAGTGCTTGAGGTCCAAGAACGCCCGGTCTGCAGCTGGAGACCACGTGATCGGGACCTTGGGAGAGGTGAGTGCTGAAAAACATGGAGGACATGTTCTTGAGCCAAGCGGGAAAAAACGAGAATGTCATTGAGGTAGACGAACACGAACTGGTTCAACATGTCACGGAGAACATTGTTAACCAGGGCCTGGAACACTGCAGGAGCGTTGGTCAGTCTGAATGGCATAACAAGGTATTCGTAGTGCCTGCTAGCCGTGTTAAAGGATGTCTTCCACTCGTCCCCTTCCCGTATCCTTACCAGATGGTAGGCGTTCAGGAGGTCCAACTTGGAGAAGATGGTGGCCCCCTGGAGAGACTCAAAAGCCGAGGCGATGAGGTGAAGTGGGTAACGGTTTTTAACCGTGATGTCATTCAGGCCCCGGTAGTCGATACGCAGGCGCAAGGTTTTGTCCTTCTTCTCCACAAAGAAATACCCTGTGCCGGCGGGGGAGGCAGAATGACGGATACACCCTGCAGCCAGGGAGTCCTCAATGTACGTTTCCATCGCCTTGGTCTCCGGACCCGACAGGGAATAGAGCCAACCCTGAGGCGGTGCAGTGCCCGGGAGAAGGTCAATGGCGCAGTCATAGGGCCGAAGCGGAGGAAGTGAGGTGGCACGGGCCTTTCTGAAAACCTCCCGGATGTCCTGGTATACCATGGGAATGGCGAAAAGGTCCGAGACTTTACCCAAGCCTGCAGGAAGACGTCCCAGGGCATGCTGCGCCTACTTCAGGCATTGAGCATGGCAGAATGCGGTCCAACCATTGATCGAACCCACAGTCCAGTCCACAAGGGGATTGTGTCTTTGGAGCCATGAAAACCCCAACACAACGGGTACCTGAGGGGATTCGATAAGTAGAAACTGGATCGTCTCGCGTTGGTTGCCTGACACTCGCAGGTTGATAGGAACCATGTTGTGGGTGACTCTGCCAATAGAACGCTCATCCAGCGCTCCGACGTCCATGGGAATGGAGAGGGTTTGAGTGAGGATTCCCAACTCTGACACCAGGGTAGCGTCCATAAAACTCTTGTCGGCCCCAGAGTCAATGAGAACCGGGAGAGATTTGGACCGGTCACCGCACAGCAAGATGGCATGGAGAGGGGTACGAGTAATGGGAGACTGGACATTCTCCGTAATGGCCACCAGTGTACTCATACCTCCTGATGAGCCGGGTCTTTTTACAGGACAGGTAGAAATATAATGACAGCCCTATGTGTTCAGTCTGTGTAACCATTTGGCAGGAGACAATCTAGCTCTGCCAAGTTGCATAGGCGAGTCGGCAACCCTCTGTGATTTCTGAGAGAACTCGGGTGACATCGGATTCACTCGGAAGTGTAGACTTTGGAGATTTCCGGGATTCCTTGGAGGCGAGGTGGAAATTGAGGACGTGCGAGGGCAACCGGAACAGAAGATGAGGGAGTACTGGGAGAGAAAAGCTTGGCAGGTTCCAGAATCTCCAGCATAGCGCTCCGGAGGTAAGCAAGGTTCTCGGGACACCGTGGTAGGCTGGGAAGAAATGCCGCTGGTGGCGGGGTTGCTGAGAGTCTGGGGGATTAAAGTAGTGGCTGCTGCCTAATAGACAATCTGCTGACTTTCTCCGGCAATGTATGGAAAGCACAGCCGTGGCGTTCAGCCAAGGTCTGGAATCCTTCCATAAGGTTGTGAAGTAACTCCTCGTGTCTTGCAATGGTGGCTCAGTGGGAGGAGACGGCGTCGCAGAGCTTGTCCGAGTCTGCTGTGTAAGCCAGTTTGTACTATCAGGAATCAGGATAAGACCCATATGCAAACAGTTCAAATCATAGATGTTTATTACAAAACAGTGGGCAGGCAAACGACAGGTCAAGGGCAGGCAGAGGTCAGTAATCCAGGGCAGAGTCAATAAGGTAGAGAACGGCAGGCAGGCTCAGGGTCAGGTCAGGCAGAGGTTTGTAAACCAGGTCAGAGTCAGATAGGTCCAGGACAGCAGGCATGCTCGGAGTCAGGACAGGTAGAATAGGTCAGAACCGGGAGAACTAGAAAACAGGGACTAGAGAGAATAGAAGTACGGGAAAAACACGCTGGTAGTCTTGACGAAACAAGACAAACTGGCAACAGACAAACAGAAAACAGGTAGAAATGCACAGGGGATACTGGGGAAAATGGGCTACACCTGGAGGGGGATGGAGACAAGCACAAGACAGGTGAAACAGATCAGGGTGTGTTGTGGAAAATAACCACTATACTTTATTACAAATAAGGTCTTACAGAGTTTTTGTTGCATCAAGAAATGACTTCATTAAAGTTTTCAACAAAGCCGATACCAGTCTGCAGAGGGGCACACATCCTTAAGGTCTCCCTCCATCTTATATAGTCCTCTTCAGTTTTCCTGCTCTTTTATTCCTCCGCCCACTTCCTTTGTCCCTGAGGACGGCTGAACTATTACTCCAACCAATCACCCGCTCCCCTGTCTTGCATGACAAGGCCCTAAATTACACAAACCTCACCCCCTCATGCTGTAATCAATCAAGAAGATACCAAGGAGACAAAGGTCTAGCCCAAACTCTATTCAACCCTGGTGCTGCTCCCTTCACTGTGTTTGAAGAGAGAGACAAAAACAAACGGCCCAATTCAGTTAGCCACAAAGAATGTTAACTATATGTTCATGATTAACTCAATTTTATCTGATAATCCATTAAAAATACACATCAGGTGTGACAGATGTCCATTGTGCAATATAGACAGTATAGTACATTTTATTATCGCAGTACAGTAGTTATTATACATAGTAGCTACTATACTATACTATCTATACTTTTGATCATGATTAGTTACAGGCATAGAACAATTAATTAGGTGAGAGAAATAAGATGATGATGTAAAAAACAAGTGACAAGGGGAAAGGTGGATGGAAAATAACTAATAACAGATATGTGGTAACAATGAAAACTAACACAGCAGACTGTCTTCAGTAGTTTATGGACACAAAAGGATAGAGGGGTCTTTCTGGGGTGGGTTAAGAGGTATGACAGAAGCATATTGGAGGCAGATAGATGTTGAGACCCAGGAGAGGGGAGTGGGCTGTCCTTCCAGGATAAGGACTCCACCAAGGTCACTCAGTCAGTCACTGCTATGCTGCTGCTGCCCTCTGCTGGAGAGAACGTGTAACATTCAGTCACATTCACTGTGGTGACATTTCCAATAATAATAATAATATGCCATTTAGCAGACGCTTTATCCAAAGCGACTTACAGTCATGTGTGCATACATTTTTACGTATGGGTGGTCCTGGGGATCGAACCCACTACCTTGGCGTTACAAGCGCCATGCTCTACCAATTGAGCTACAGAGGACCAATAGATAGAGATCTAGGATCAGCTTCCCCTCCCCCAATCCTAACCTTAACCTTTAGTGGGATTTTTTTTAAAATCTGACCCAAGATCAGCATCTAGGGGCAACTTCACCCTAAACCCAGGCACACTCCACACTGTAATGTTATGGATACACACTGAAAACAATGTGGTTAGCTGGCCACAATGTGATGATACAGTTTTTCACACAGACAAATAAAAAGGCTAAGAAAGATTTGTGTGATTAAAGAGTGACGTTTACTACACATAGCAATGTGGTGTTGTCTGTATCTTTGTTGAGAGATCAGCATCATCTGGTACAACAGACAGAGGAGACACCAACACTGACCAGTGTGGTCACCTGTAGAGCTAGTGAGCTGTAGACCACATTATCATCTGGTTCTGCTGCCTACAGAGGAGGAACAGGTAGAGAGGTGAACAGGGACAGTTCTGTTATAATGGAGAGTACAGTTTGAAACAGACTTCTCAGTGAAATTAAAAGTGTAGACAGTTGTAATTGTGATATGTGACATAACGGTGATATATTATGCCTATAGGTATAATGGTGACATAACCATGACTATATTAACACTGAGGAAACAATCACCTACTGTTGTTTCTGATAACATAATACTAGCTGTGGCTAATCAGCAGAGCAGCTTTACCATGGTCTTGTCACGCCCTGGCTCTGGGGACTCTTATATGTTGAGCCAGGGTGTTAGTTTCTATGTTTAGTGTTCTATGTTCATGTTCTAGTTTATGTGTTTCTATGTTGGCCGGGGTGGTTCCCAATCAGAGGCAGCTGTGGCTTGTTGTCTCTGATTGGGACCCATACTTAGGCAGCCTGTTTTGCACTTGTTATTTGTGGGATCTTGTTCCGGAGAGGTTTGTGTTTGTTAACCTTAGGACTTCACGTATCGTTTTGTTATTGTCTTTTAAGTACTCATTAAAAGATGTACGCATATCACGCTGCGCCTTGGTCTGCTTCATACGACGATCGTGACAGGTCTGTATGTTTATTTGGGCCTTGTGCTGGGGGATGACAGTGCTGTATGTGACATCATCATCATCTTCAGGAAATGGGGCCTGCTTGTCACGATCGTTGACTGAAGACACGGACCAAGGCGCAGCGTGATAAGCGTACATACTTTTATTTAACGTACTTAAAGACAAAAACAACAAACAAACGATACGTGAAGTCCTGAGGTTATAACACAACAAACCTTTACGGATCAAGATCCCACAAAGACTAGTGCAAAACAGGCTGCCTAAGTATGGTCCCCAATCAGAGACAACGAGCTACAGCTGCCTCTGATTGGGAACCACCCTGGCCAACAGATCAAACGATCTAGAACAAAAACATAGAAAAACTAAACATAGCAAATCCACACCCTGGCTCAACATTTAAGAGTCACCAGAGCCAGGGCGTGACACTGCTGTAAGAGAGACACCCAGATAACAAAAATGTATTGTTGTATTGTTATAGTGTACATTTATCTATTGCTTGTTCCAAGACAGAAAATTATAACTGTTTTCTAAAACAGATGCAAACAGCCATAATGTTGTCTAAGACCAACGATGCATGTGGCCATATGTTGACCTTCTGTTCTGTCCTGAACTGATCAGGCATCACAGTGCTGTACATCACGTCATGGTGGCTGTCTGGGTTTGGGCTCGGAGAAATGGACAGCACAGAAGGTAAACATATGGCTACATGCATAGGAAGACAGAGTATTGGAACTTCAGATACTCAGCTCAACACTGCAGGGATGAGAGAGAGAGAGAGAGAGAGAGAGAGAGAGAGAGAGAGAGAGAGAGAGAGAGAGAGAGAGAACCCAAGCTCACACTGCAGAGATGGAGTGATTGGTACTAGTCCAAGATCTCCACAGACCTAAACCAGGTCTATTCAGTTTGTACCTGCTGTGCTGTTTCTCTGGTGTATCTCACTATGCTGTATGTAATGTCCTGCTCAGGGTCAGCAGACTGCAAATAAATAAATAGCAAAGAGAAACAGGACTTGTCTATTTATCAACTAAACCACAGTTTGTTTCCATGATAGGATGCAGTCACAGATATATTTAGTGAACTGACAACTTCCTGTTCTCTGTCTTTTAAACAGCATTTTTCAACATCTTGAGTGCTATAAGACCTTGGGTTCAGTTGTACCTTTTATGTCAACTCATTGATAACCAACTGAAGAGGTAACACTAGAGTTAAATGGTAGATGATCCCAAATCATGAACAGAAAAGCAGATGGTTGAAAATAATAGAATATAATAAAATAAGTGTATCCTACCACTGAGTTGTTATTTGTCTGGTCCTTGGCCTTATTGTCCTCTGGAATAAAGAGAGGGAGATGTCAATTACTTCTGAGTTTGTTATAGTACAATAATACCTCTGAATGGATTTCTTATAGACAATTCCTCTAAATACTTTGTGTCATTCAAGATAAATCACAAGCAAGCAATATACTGTTGGTCACAATGTCAATACTTTTAGTATTTTTCTAAACTATTCTCGTTTTTATATTCACATAAAATGACTACTTACTATGCTTTGTCCACATCTTCCATGTGACTAGGATACCAGCTGTCACCACCACCAAAATGCCCGAAGGAATCAGTAGGACTTTCACATCTATGGACCTGATGGATTACATAGAAGAACTTTAATTAAAAATACAATTAAATTAGATCATTATAAATGTATCATTTGTGAAAGTGATAATTTGTTGTTTGCAATGTTGTGATAAATGGAACAATTATTTAGCTATTCACATGTGTGGAAGTTTACATTATTATTATTGAGATTATTACTATACAAATAATGTTGTTTTTAAAGTGTGCAACTTGTCCTTCAAAATGAGTGAGAATAACACCAACATTGCTGCTACGTCTCACAATGCAACCACAGAGATGTTCTACCAAGACGAAGTGCTAACAGTCTCTATATGCATTTAGGGAGGGTATTTGGTTAGCTTTAACTGTTGTAGTGTATGATAAAATTGTAATGTTTCTTTGTGTTCATATTATCAGCCAATTGACATAATATGTGGGATAATACAACTGAATGAGTGATAATAACCTCTGGTGGACGTCCTCCATGTTCCCCTCAGCTTGGGTTGCTGTGAGGTAAAACAACAATGCCATTAATGAAATTACTGGTATACCAGAGAGTCAGGTTGTATAGCAACATCACATTCATAGTCAATATTCAAATTTGTTTCAGACGATGAAACAAAGTGAATCTGCTGTCAAGGATTATGAAAACAGTAGCATATTTTCACTGAATATCATCTATGTCAAGAAGTAAATCATGGAATAAATACATATTTTCATTGTGAGCCAAGGAAAGCCCCCGGGCCAAACCCTGCCCTAACCCAGACGACGCTGGGTCAATTGTGCACCGCCCTATGGGACTCCCGCTCATGGCTGGCTGTGACACAGCCTGGGATAAAACTCCAGGCAGTAGTGACACCTCAACACTGCAGTGCAGTGCCTTTGACTGCTGCGCCAATTGGGAGGCCCCTTTATCCCTCTTCTATACAGGAAATGAACCCTTTGTCATGTACAGCTCATAACCACAGATGTCCTCCAAGCCAAAGTGTTAAAGTTAGTTCAGGAAGCTGCATTACCAGAATGCTACAAGTTTCAGCTAAACTCATTCCATGACGTCATGTTAAATACTGAGCTTTGTGTTCTACTGTTGGCTCCAACACAGCAACTACTTCACACTCAAACTCACACTCAAACTCACTTTTTTTTGTTGCTTTGGTACAATTTTCATACATATGTGGTAATATTTCACAACTCTTAGTACAAAACTCAATAAAATAAAAAACTTTAAGCACATTTTCAATTGACTAAGTACAACACACACTATCACATAGTAACTTACCAGTGTTTCATCTAAAAACACCTTTCATATAAAGTAATTGCCTTTCACAATGCAATGCTCACAATACATTTCATATGATTCTCTTCTCATTTCTTTAAAAACATTTGACCATCACCTAATTCAACGGCACTTAATGATTAATGACTTAACAGTTTGGTAGACCTATAGATTTTAAACTGGTTTGTCTAATATATGGATTTAGAGAACCACATAAATACAATGTGTGTTTGTATAGTATAAACATCTAAATGACATGTATGATACATGATAACCATACATAATGAATATTCATTAGTACTAATTGATTTCCCATAGCGTCAACCACTATTGGTCACCATAGAAAAGGGGGTGTGTGAACACTTGCAAGTTCTTTAACAAGGAGCAGGATAGACAGCAAGGGAGAGGAAGAAATCAAAGAGCTGGTGGACAAGGGGCCATCAGAGAGGTGGGCATTAGACCCATCAAAGAGGTCAAAGAGGTGGGCATGGGCCCCATCAAATTGGTCATAGAAGTGGGCATTAGACCCATCAAAGAGGTCAAAGACGTCAAAGAGGTGGACATCAGATAGAGAGGGAGGCAGAGGGCAGGGAACTGTTGTGTCTAATGATGTCTGGGCCATCGTTGTTGACCATGTGGTAAACAGAGGCCTTACCATGGCAGAGGCTTCCTGATTAGTTCACCCAAATCTGAAAAGATCAACTGTCAGTTCAATCATGACAACATTTCGCCAAGAAAACCGGTAAGTCTGTAGGATATGCACTATGCTTTAACAGTACATTTACATTATATGATATATTGTAATGCATGTAAATTCACAAAACATGTTACAATATTCTTACAGTGTGATCTATTGACAGTATACTCTGTTCTACCATCAGAATTGACAGAAGACCCCATGGTGGTGCCGTGGCTGTGTGCTGACCGACCAGCAGTGTTGGAAATGGTGAGGGCCAGGAATGACATATGGCTGTCTGAAATAAAGCAGGCCATTGAGGAGAACGGTGACATCTTTGCCAATGTGGCATCCATCAGCCTACCAACAATCGGCCACCTTATGAAGAGGCAGCAGGTATCTATGAAACACATTGACCTGGTGCCTTTAGAGAGAAACAACGACAGGGTGAAAGAACTGTGGGCCGAGTATGTTCAGGTACAGCACTATATACTGTATTACTGTTGCTATTTGATGCACAGCTACTTCACAGTATCACATTAAAACAATACTGTAAAAAAAACTAAACCAAATATGTTTTAGAGGGTGATGGTGATGATTCTGTTAACCATCAGAAATATATCTTTGTTGATGAAGCGGGCTTCAACCTGGCCAAAACTCAGCGCCGTGGGCGGAGTCTCATCGGCCAACGGGCGACCGTCCAAGTTCCTGGACAACATGGGGGAAACATCTCCATGTGTGCAGCTTCCTCTGAAGATGGTGGTGTAGGACGTAGGCCATTACTTGGATCCTATAAAGCTGCACACCTCATTGTGTTTCTCAATGAAATTGAGCAGGCCTGTCAAGGTGAAGGGGTCACCTATGTCATTGTGTGGGACAATGTCAGGTTCCAACATGCAGATGTGGTTCAGGCATGGTTTCGGGCCCATTCCCGATTCATGACCCTATACCTTCCCCCATACTCTCCTTTCCTCAACCCTATTGAGGATTTTCTTTCAGCATGGAGGTGGAAGGTGTACGATCAACATCCCCATGAGCGTGTCACCCTCCTTCTGGCCATTGATGAGGCATGCCACGACATCAATTCAGACCAATGTGCTCATTGAATGTCTTCATTGATCACACCTTTGATTATACATTGGAAAAATGTTATGGAAGTTATACATTTTCTGTCAATTCAGTTGGGTAATGTAAGTGTATTGCCTAATGTGAAAACAGTGTAATCTGCTGTAATTGACAGTACTGTAGCATATTACTTTCAGCACTTCTAAGGGCGATTTGAAACACGTATCCTGCATTGTTTGCTATTGGATTAACTGGTAGTTAAAACTACTAAATTCATTATGTTGTGTTTTGGTGATTAAACCAATGTTCTCATTACATTTCACAATAAACTTATATTTTGAATCAATGGTTGTGTGATGATAGATGTTTATAATACAAATGAATGCACAACAACAGGTCTGGAATGAAAGACTGGCTGCGTTACAGGTGTGACCAGTTTGGAGTTCTGTACTAAGAGTTGTGAAAATGTACCACATACTTGTGAAAATAGTACCATAGCGATAAAAAAAACTGCAGCAAAGCATTTATATTAAAGTTGGAGAAGGTAAAGACAGAATAGTAGTCCAAGGCTCTGATTCAACAAGGAGAGGATTTGTTGCATGTGTTTGTGTGTGTGTGTGTGTGTGTGTGTGTCTGTGTGCGTGTGTGTTTTATTCACCCACCAGTGGAAAACATTTACAAATCTATAAAAAAACATCCTAATCTTTCTTCTATCGCTCTGATATAGGACAGACACTTAATTCCTTTTAATTCATTTTTTGATTAGCTGATTCGCCATTTATGAACATGTTATTCAATGTGTTTCTATGAGATAATAGCAGCAAGGCCAAATTACATTTTTAATCAAATCATTTTGTTATACTTTTTTTAATACTTACAAATACATATTTTGTTACGTTACAGCCTTATTCTAAAAATGATTACAGTTTTTCCCCCCTCATCGATCTACACACAATACCCTAAACTGACAGAGCAAAACCAGGTTATAAATTGTTGCAAATCTATTAAAAATGTAAAACTGAAATATCACATTTACATAAGTATTCAGACCTTTTTCTCAGTACTTGGTTGAAGCACCTTTGGCAGCGATTACAGTCTTCTTGGGTATGACGCTACAAGTTTTGGACACCTGTACTTGGGGAGTATCTCACATTCTTCTCTGCAGATCCTCTCAAGCTCTGTCAGGTTGGATGGGAGCGTCACTGCACAGCTATTTTCAGGTGTCTCCAGAGATGTTCGATCAGGTTCAAGTCCGGGCTCTGACTGGGCCACTCAAGACTTGTCCCGAAGCCACTCCTGCATTGTCTTTGCTGTGTGCTTAGGGTCGCTGTCCTGTTGGAAGGTGAACCTTCGCCCCAGTCTGAGGTCTCTGTACTTTGCTCCGTTCATCTTTACCTCAATCCTGACTAGTCTCCCAGTCCCTGCCTCTGAAAAACATCCCCAGAGCATGATGCTGCCACCACCATGCTTCACCATAGCGATGGTGCCAGGCTTCCTACAGATGTGACACTTGGCATTCAGGCCAAAGAGTTAAATCTTGGTTTCATCAGACCAGAGAATCTTGTTTCATTAGGTGCCTTTTGGCAAACTCCAAGCGGGCTGTCATGTGCCTTTTACTGAGGAGTGGCTTCCGTCTGGCCACTCTACCAAAAAGGCCTGATTGGTGGAGTGCTGCAGAGATGGTTGTCCTTCTGGGAGGTTCTCCCATCTCCACAGAGGAACTCTGGAGCTCTGTCAGAGTGACCATCACGTTCTTGGTCACCTCCCTGACAAAGGCCCTTCTCACCCGATTGCTCAGTTTGGACGTTATAAAAAATAAAAGAGCATAAGTCTACCTAATGTTCATATATCTCACTGTTTTTAACTCTCTTCTTGCTTCTGTTTGAATGTACATAACCCCCTCAGTGGCAGATAGCAGCTATGGTATTCTATGGTCTAGTTTTAACCTAAAACATATTAATTTCAACACATTTTGTATTCAGCATCATCATCATATTTATTTTGTTACACAGCTTGTACATTTA